AGGAATACTAGGAGGAAAATCCAGCAACAGATCCAGTTCCAGTGTCGGAGTACCTAAAGGATCTTCAATCAACAATGCAACTGGCTAGGGACATTGCACAAGAACATTTGCTTGCAGCTCAGCAAAGACAAAAAGACTATTATGATTCTACTGCTAAGCCAAAGATCTTCAACATCGGAGATGAAGTTTTGTTTTTATCTCCCAACAAAACCAACAAACTGCAATTAGATTGGTCGGGACCCTGGAAGATCACCAGGAAACACAATCAAATAAACTATGATATTTATGATGAACATTCAAATGTGGAAAGAAGAGTTCATGTAAACATGTTAAAGCCTTATGTTAGAAGGTCTGCTAATGTTTATTTTGTTGTTTCGGAAGAAGAATCCGGTCCCTTTTCTTTTTGGGAGGGTGATCGTGAACAATACAAAAATTTGGATCGGGTAGAAATAAACAGTGAATTGTCCCAACCACAGCGAAGAGAGGTTGTGGAAATTTTGAGTAAATATAAAGATATATTTTCAGATTTACCAGGAAAGGTCCAGGGAGTCCAGCATCAAATAAACACCGGTGATGTAGCTCCTATAGTATGTCCACCCTACAGGGTCACAGGGAGACCCAATGAATGTATTGAAAGGGAGATTAAAGAAATGTTGGACCTAGGTATCATTGTTCCATCGATTAGCTCTTGGGCTTCACCCATAGTATTAGTACAGAAGCCAGACAAGACAATTAGATTTTGTGTAGATTATAGGCAATTAAACAAGGTAACCCAAACAGATACTTATCCTATGCCATGTTTGAATGATTTGCTGGAAAGGATGGGGAAGGCCAATTTTATTAGTAGTATAGATCTAACCAAAGGATTTTGGCAAGTGCCCATGGCACCACAGGATCAACATAAAACCGCCTTCCGGACCCAAAATCGGCTATTTGAATTTTCCGTACTTCCATTTGGGTTAAAGAACAGCCCAGCCACATTTCAGAGATTAGTGGACAGAGTTTTAAGTGGGCTGGGGTCTTTCTGCGTGGCCTATATCGATGATATAGGGATTTTCAGTGATTCATGGGAAGCTCACCTTGAACATTTGGATCTGGTATTAAGTAGGTTGAGGGAAGCAGGGTTAACTATTAAAGCTTCCAAGTGCAAGTTAGGATACAATACTACCAAGTATTTAGGACATTTAGTGGGAGGAGGTTGTATTTGACCTGACCCTACTAAAGTGGCAGTTATTCACCAGTGGCCTGTGCCCAAAACAAAAAAACAGGTTAGGGCACTCCTTGGATTGGCTGGATACTATCGTAAATTCATTCCATCTTTTAGTGATTTGGCAGCCCCTCTTTCGGATCTTACCAAAAAGAAGAACCCGAATCAGGTAATTTGGACTCCAAATTGTCAAACTGCCATGGATCAATTGAAGAAAGCCATTACTTCGGATTCGGTCCTAATTGCGCCAGATTTTGATAAACCTTTTATTCTAACATGTGATGCATCGGATACTGGGCTAGGAGCTGTCCTAAGCCAGTTAGATGTAGAGGGTGAGGACAGACCTATTTTGTTTTTGAGTAAAAAATGGCATTCCAATGAATATAACATGTCAATGATTGAAAAAGAATGCTATGCCATCATATGGTCAGTAAAAAAATTAAAGCCATATTTGTGGGGGAGAAAGTTTACCTTACAAACGGACCATGCTCCATTAAGATGGCTAGATAATGTAAAAGGTACGAATAACAAATTATTGAGATGGAGTTTATGTTTACAGGATTTTACATTTGAAATTAAACATGCTTCAGGTAAACGAAACATAGTCGCAGACGCCTTATCTAGAATTTCGTATGGTAAAAGGTTTGTATATATGCATTATAATATATTTAACCATATTGTGATTGCCTTTCAGAAATATTGTGTATTTAGATATTGTTGGATAATTTGTGGAATTATTTTTGCCCATTCCGGGAGTGAGAATGGCCCAAAAATAATTTTTCTGTGGGGGAAGGTGTACAGGAGTTGATTATAAATTGTATGATTTTAACTGTATTTGTGTTTAGATTGGCTGCAGTAATGCTGGAGCGGCCTAAGTCAGAGGAGTCCTCCATGGGCGTTGCCATGGAGACCGATGCTGGAGAGAGGGAAGTGGGAGGAGCTTAGCGGGGAGAGTTTGAACAAACGACAGTTAAAAATCAGTTAGGGTTTAGGTTTAGGGGAGTGAGCAGTCAGGAGTTAGGTTTAGAGGAGTGAGGAGTTAGGAGTTGGGAGAGAAGGAAAGGAAAGGTGGGAGAGAAGGAAAGGAAAGAAAACAGTGTGCTGTTTCCCCCCGAGTATTACAGGTTCCACACATATGTGTCAGTTACAACTCTTTTTTTCGCCCCTCCCCTCCATTTCCACAGTTGACATTTCACCTCTCTTGCCTTAGGTTTGTTTCTTTGGAAAGCAATACCTGTCGCAAGGTGGGGCATTCGCAACAGTTAGTTGCAAACCCCCGTTAGGTAATCTTGATTGTGTCTGATGGAAACGTCTTGGGTAAACAGCATCTTGTGTACAGGGCCACTTGCTCAAGAGGCCAAATGTTACATTACCCTTTTGCACATGGGGTGTTTTGGAAATTTAACAAAAAAACAACCTTATCAGATAATGTTAGGTCAACCCACAGATTGAGTCAATACTGAAAAACTATTCTGATTTCTGGGTTGTTGGGAGCTTTCTGGGCTGTATGGCCATGTTCCAGAAGCATTCTCTCCTGACATTTCGCCCACATCTATGTGACAACTTCACAACCTCTGAAGATACCTGCCATAGATGTGGGTGAGACGTCAGGAGATAATGCTTCTGGAACGTGGCCATACAGCCCAGAAAACTCCCAGCAACCCAGTGATTCCAGCCATGAAAGCCTTCAACAACCCAGATTCTGATTGTGAAGCAAAACTTTGAGGCTTTGAAAAGCTGGGTTTGGCTATTGGAAGTTTCTCAGGCTAGTGCAGCCG